CATCCGATAAAAAATAAATAGTAAAAAAGAAACGATAAATAAAATAAAACGATGCATACAAAATCTAAACGTCAGCTGTAAAGCTTTAATTGATGAGGTTTTTCAGGTGTAAATCAGAAAAGCTTCTGAATGTTGGAATAATCAGGTGGCTGCAGGTTCTGTCACAAATACGAAAAACATCTGTTTTGTCAGAACCGAACAGTTCTGCAGCTGCAGCTCAGTCCCGCTCCACAGATGTGACCTCCTTTAGAAACTCGACTTCATTTTGTTAAATATTCAGACTAACAGAGGGAAACTCAGCTGCGTGCCGAACAAAAAATCCAGTTATTTCTAACTGAAAGTATGAAAACAAACGAAAATGAACGTCACGTGCTGCAGGCTGCCTCAGCAGGACTTCACCTTTAAGATATTTTTTWAAAATAACATTTAAATCGTGACTTTGTTCTGCTTGCTGTGCCGTCTGATTAGTGCGGAGCTCGTTAATGGACAGAAACAGTCGATGTGATTGGACTCACCGGCCTTTGTCCTTTTCATCGCCCACATCCAGGAAAATCCATTCCTATTAGGAGCTTAATCATCACTAAAACAAGAAGTGTCATTTACCTTTAAGGCTGCCCAGGTGGTAAATCAGTGGGTAAAAACACACCGAAGAAGCTGTTCAGGAATAACTCCAGTGTTTAGTTTACATGAATTATAATCCCTCTGATCTGTTTAAAAAAGTCTGAGTAAAAACCAAACACAGACCAYAGGATTTATTTTACTTCAATCCATCTTAAACTTATTTTTGTAAAGCTCTTATAATGAAAATATCTTAATTTTCTAACTGTGTGAAAATGTCACCATGGTGGTTCAACATTTTAAAAGTTTTGCCAATAAAAAAACAGATTTTCTTCACAAAGGAGGAAAGTAAAGTAAAAATTTAATAAAATTTTTTAATAAATTCATGAAAAACCTTCAGAAAGTTTGCCAAATTAGAGTAAGATCACTTTAAAAAAAATTGAAATTGAAATGAAAGTCAGGATCCCTAAAAGAAGAATTTATTTTAAACACCCGGTGCAGAACTTTAAATAATTTATTCATTTTGCACGATTTGCTGCTTTCATTCAACTATTTTAAAATTTCAGAAATGTTTTCTCTTTTAATTATAAGCAGTAAAAGCTCGTGTGTCGACCTGCAGCAGCAAACTTTAATAACAGGAGAATATTTTCTCTCTCTGTTACCCTAACCCACCTTACAGCCCCTCTGAGAGGATCCGGAGCAGAGTTTATGGTCCCAGATCTCAGAAGCTGCTAAATCTCAGAGWAAACCTGCAGTCGTCTCAGGTTCACAGCCAGCCGGAGCTTTGGGAGCCAGAACCGGGTTCTGGAAAGGATGGTGTCGGCTAAACGCAGCCGCTCCTCTGCATCGTTTCCACTGCMGAGGGAGATCAATTACACCTGGCTGCTGAGAAGTTCCCACCTTCAACGTGACGCCGTTGTGTTTGTGGAAAAAGGTCAGACTCACAAATCACACCTTGCTTTGGTGACTTTAACGGGATTTCCACTTTTCTGTGCCCTTAATTAACCATTCAGCTCATTCAGAAACAAATTATTTGACCTTACAGATCGAAGCACTTGGGTGTGGAAAATGTCAAGATTCCTAACGGCACTTTTGCTGAGTGTTGTTTGGGTTTACAGATAAAAGCAAAGCACAGATTGTTGTTGTTGTTGTTGTTGTTGTCACTGATAAATCTTGTTATAAACTGAAGCTCCGCCCTGATGGACCAAGCTGAAGTTTGGGTTGACCTGCAGGACAGCAAGATGTTTCTGCATGGAGCACCAACATCATGATCTGTGTCATCAAGCATCACCAATATGTGTGTTTGTTTAAAGTACATATGGCATCGAATTTTTGTAATAAATATGAAACTGTTTTTGGAAAGACAATATTGATAACATGTCGCAAAAAAAATTTCATGCCRCTGAGATGAACAGTTGTTGAGATATTCGCATGTGAAGTGACAGGAAGTGATGTCATGAGGGGAATATCTGCTATTTGTTACGATAACTAACAACAGACTGTAGCGAAGAATCTGATGTTGAAGAAAATTGGCACAATACAAACAAGTTTACCCATTTTGTTGCATAACTAGCATATTTTCTTTTGAACTTGGCTCAGCCAAAGTGAAACAGGAAGTGACATCAAAGGGGAACTCTAACAAAGAAAACTCTGGTTCTTCTTTATTGAAAGAATATAATTTGAACTCTGACACTTTATCGCTCTGATAGAGACTCAAAATAATCTAAAGAAACCTCTGATTCTTCTCTACAGTCGGTGTTGTTAGTTAGCGCTCTGTTTACAGTCAAACATTCCCCTTTGACATCACTTCCTGTTACTTCACGTGCAAATATCTCAACAACAGTTCAGCCCAGCAGCGTGAAAATATTTTTGCAATGAATTATTAATTGTATCTTTCCAAAAATGCCTTCATGTTTGTGACACAGATTTGATGACACAGACACTTTAAAGTGGCGTGCAGAGCGGTCAGAGACGTCTCAGCTTCTGAATGTTTGTCAGGATTTACCTGGTTTGCTCAGAGAAGCTGCGGAGCAGCAGCAGCAGCAGGAACAGATCGATGCTGCTGTAAAGTAAAAATATGTGTTCTGGCGTGAAAAGTGTCGAACATGATGCTGCTCAGCTGCTCGCTCGTTAAAATGAAGAGGTGTTTCAGTTTATACGCCTCACCGCCGACAACCGATAACCAGGAATAAAATTAAAAACACATTTGAAACCTCACATAAAAATTAAAAAAGCTGTTGGTGGATTTTTCTGGGCTGGGAAGCTTCTGTTTGTTGAAAACAGCTGAAAAAAATCATTCCTACAAAACATAAAATCATGTAAAACAAAACATTTTGTTTTATTTTTATCTTTACGAAAAGAGAATTTGAACAACGAATGGTTTTATATTTGACCCTTGACCTTTATGAACCCAACTGTCTGAGTTTTTTATCAAACTATTTAAATAAAAACTTTTTTTTCACACAACTAAATAACTTTTAAATAACTTTTCTTCCTCCTATGATCAGGTAAAACCGACATCCCTCTCCAGCTCCTCCTGCAGGATCCCAGTGTTCTGGTCAGAAAGGATAAAAAATAAGATATAAATAAAGAACTTAATAATATATACAGTATATTTTAAAGCAAAACCAGATGCTATGTCAGGTTTGTGCTGCAACAACATTAAACTTTGTTTAGCTTTTTTTTAAATCACATATTAAGACAAATGGCATTTTCAGAGCTGAATGAGTTTTTAACTGAATTGTTTTAAAAAAAAACAACCAGAATAGAAGTTAAAATTAGTAAAACGCAGTAAACGTAGTAAAACAAATCTACAAAATCAACATTTTTAAGCTGTTAAATACATTTTGTTGTGGACGGAGTCTCTAGGAGGCAAAAAAGTTAAACTTAGTTTCTCCCGGCGCTGTGTAGATATTTTTAGTTTAGTTTTAGTTTAGTTAGTTTATTTCAAACTAACATGTAAACAAAACAAAACAAAAAGATAAAAA